GCAGCCATCAGTGGTGTGCACACGAATAGCACTGTCACTGCCGACCGGTGTCCTGTTTCTCCACTGCTCGCTCCCACCTACACGCCGCTGGCGGTGCGCACACTAAAGGTGGGTGCGAGATTTGTTATTACTTACTCATACCGCCACCGGACACGCGCGCGCGCACGCACGCACACGCACCCGCACACGCGCGCACGCACACACGCACGCGCGCACGCACGCACGCGCACACACGCACGCACACACGCGCACGCGCGCACGCGCGCACGCACGCCCGGGCACTAGCATATAACATACATGTTCGCTGTACAACGAGCAGAGAGAAGCAGGAAGAGCTATCACATCTCTGCTGGCGTGTTCAATACTAGCAGCTGTCTGGCTTCACACATGTGCATGCGCGGGCAACTTACTGTTTCCTGCGAAATTAGTATTTCGTGCGAGCACACACCGATTACGCTTTTCTGTTGACAGAAATATACGAAATTGGTGCTGTGCTAGTTGGTTCTTTTCCGAATTGATTTGTGAGGGGCGCAGGCGATGGATGGCCTGCTGATACGGTTTTTTTTATTAAGCGTTACCGGGCAACAAGTGGTCCTCAAATTAGAGGTATAGTAGGTCCGCATATTTAGAGGTGGCTAAATTTGCCGTTAGGTTTACCATGTGTGTGTGCGTGCGTGCGTGCGTGCGTGCGTGCGTGCGTGTGTGTGTGTGTGTGCTGTGTGTGTGTGCGTGCGTGTGTGTGTGCGTGTACGTTCGTGCGTGTGCGTGTTTTGATAACAGTTGCAGAACCGCGCGTCGTTTTGAAGCATATTGTCTCCTAATAGCCTTGACGTTCTTTTGTGCGCATTGTTCTGAGTTGGTTTCTTTGATGGTCTCGTTCCTTGCGACGCATGAACGCTCTTCCTGATTAAAATTTATATAGAATGTCCACTGTAATGTGTGACTCTGATAGTGCATACTTATCACTTTTGATTTGAAACGAAGTAACAGCTAACACCCTACTCAGCATCACACTGGAAAGCGCGGGCACGCGAGCACACACACACACACACACACACACACACACACACACACACACACACACACACACACACACACACACACACACACACACACACACACACACACACACACACACACACACAC